ATTCACCCCAAAAACACATCCCAAATACCCCAAAATATACCCTCAAATACCCCAAAAATTCACCCAAAATACCCCAAAAATTCACCAAAAATACAGGCCAAAACTCCCTAAATTCACCCCAAAAACACACCCCAAATACCCCAAAAATTCACCCCAAATGCCCCAAAAATTCACCAAAAATACAGCCTGAATACAGCCCAAAATACCCCAAATTCACCCCAAAAACACACCCCAAATGCACCCTCAAATATGCCAAAAACACACCCCAAATGCCCCAAAAATTCACCAAAAATACAGCCCAAAACTCCCCAAATTCACCCCAAAAATACACCCCAAATGCCCCAAAAATTCACCCAAAATACCCCAAAAATTCACCCAAAATACCCCAAAAATTCACCCAAAATACAACCCAAATACAGCCTAAAAAAGCCCAAATTCACCCCAAAAACACATCCCAAATACCCCAAAATATACCCTCAAATACCCCAAAAATTCACCCAAAATACAGCCCAAAACTCCCCAAATTCACCCCAAAAATTCACCCCAAATGCCCCAAAATACACCTAAAAATACACCCAAAATACCCCAAATCCACCCCAAAAATCCACCCAAAATCCTCCAAAAATTCCCAAATTTTTAGGAAAAACCCCAAAAAATCCCAAATTTTTAGGAAAAACCCCCAAAAATTCCCAAATTTTTCCACAAAAAAAACCCCAAATTTTTTAAGAAAAACCCCAAATATCCCGAATTTTTTAGGAAAACCCCCAAAAATTCCCAAATTTTTTAGGAAAAACCCCAAATTTTTTAGGAAAAACCCCCCAAAATTCCCAAATTTTTTCTCAAACACCCTTAAATTTTTAGGAAAAACCAAAAAAATTCCCGAATTTTTAGTAAAAACCCCCCAAAAAATCCCGAATTTTTCCACAAAAAAACCCCAAATTTTTTAGGAAAAACCCAAAAAATTCCCAAATTTTTAGTAAAAACCCCCCAAAAAATCCCAAATATTTCCAAAAAAAACCCCAAATTTTTTAGTAAAAACCCAAAAAATTCCCAAATTTTTAGTAAAAACCCCAAAAAACCCCAAATTTTTCCACAAAACCCCAAATTTTTTAGGAAAACCCCCAAAAAATCCCAACTTTCTGGGGAAAAACCCCCAAAAATCCCAAATTTTTCCACAAAAAACCCCAAATTTTTTAGTAAAAACCCCAAAAAATCCCAAATTTTTAGTAAAAAACCCCAAAAATCCCAAATTTTGGGGGAAAAACCCCCAAAAATTCCCAAATTTTTTCTCAAACACCCTTAAATTTTTAGGAAAAACCCAAAAAATTCCCGAATTTTTAGTAAAAACCCCCCAAAAATACCAAGTTTTTCCACAAAAAACCCCAAATTTTTTAGGAAAAACCCAAAAAATTCCCAAATTTTTAGTAAAAACCCCAAAAAACCCCAAATTTTTCCACAAAACCCCAAATTTTTTAGGAAAACCCCCAAAAAATCCCAAATTTTTAGTAAAAAACCCCAAAAATCCCAAATTTTGGGGGAAAAACCCCCAAAAATTCCCAAATTTTTTCTCAAACACCCTTAAATTTTTAGGAAAAACCCAAAAAATTCCCGAATTTTTAGTAAAAACCCCCCAAAAATACCAAGTTTTTCCACAAAAAACCCCAAATTTTTTAGGAAAAACCCCAAATTTTTCCACAAAAAACCCCAGATTTTTTAGTAAAAACCCCCCAAAACTCCCCATTTTTTCGGAAAAACCCCAAATTCGGGTGTTTTTTTTGGCAGCAATGCAACGACGTGGGGCTGATGGCGTACCTGGGCACCATCACCAAAACCTGCAACACCATGAACCAGTTCGTCAACAAATTCAACGTGCTCTACGACCGGCAGGGCATCGGGCGCCGCATGCGAGGGCTCTTCTTCTGAGACGAAAACGCACGGGAACGGGCAAAAACGGGCAAAAACACACAAAAACGCACGGAAACGGGCAAAAACGGGAGAAAAACGGGCAAAAACGACACCGAAACCCACGGGAACCGGCGGAAAAACGCACGGGAACGGGCAAAAACGGGCAAAAACGGGACAAAAACGGACAAAAATGGACAGAAATGGACAGAAATGGACAGAAACGACACAAAAACGCACGGAAACGGGCAAAAACCGCATGGAAATGGACAAAAACAGGACAAAAATGGACAGAAATAGACAGAAACGACACAAAAACACACGGGAAAGGGGGAAAAACGGGAGAAAAACGGGACAAAACGGACAAAAATGGACAGAAACGACACAAAAACGGACAGAAACGGGCGGAAACCGCACGGGAACGGGCAAAAATGGACAAAAATGGACAGAAACGACACAAAAATGGACGGGAACGGGACAAAAACGGGAGAAAAATGGGACAAAACAGACAAAAATGGACAAAAATGGACTGAAATGGACTGAAATGGACAAAAACGGACAGAAACAGACAGAAATGAACAGAAACAGGACAAAAATGGACAAAAACAGACAAAAATGGACAGAAACGGACGGAAATGGACAGAAACGGGACAAAAATGGGACAAAAATGGACAAAAACAACCCAAAAATGGACAAAGACAGAAATGGACAGAAAAATGGGACAAAAATGGACAAAAATGTGACAAAAACGGACAGAAACAGACAGAAATGACCCAAAAATGACCCAGAATGACCCAAAAACGGCCCAAAACCGCACGGAAATGGACAGAAGCGACGCAAAAATGGACAAAGAAGACACAAAAATGGACAGAAACGGACAAAAATGGACAAAAAAGACACAAAACCTGCCCAAAAACAGCCCAAAACAGCCCAAAAATGACCCAAGACCAGCCCAACCTGCCCAAAAACAGCCCAAAACAGCCCAAAAATGACCCAAGACCAGCCCAAAAACGGCCAAAAATGACCCAAAAATGGCCAAAAACGACCCAAAAACGGCCCCAGATGGAGAAACGGCACCGGAATCCACAGAAATGGACCCAGAATGACAGAAATAGACCCAAAATCCATAAAAATCGACCCAAAATGCACAAAAATGGACCCAAAATGCACAAAAACGGAATCAGAACGGCCAGGAAAGAACCCAAAATTCGTAAAAATGGCCCCAAAATTGACCCAGGGCCACAGAAAGCCCCAAAATTCAGAGAAATTGACCCAAAATCCTCAGGAATGGCCCCAAAATTGATAAAAATGGCCCCAAAATTGATAAAAATGACCCAAAATTGATAAAAATGGCCCCAAAATTCCCAAAATCCCCCCCAGAATTCCCGAAATTCCCGGAATTCCCCGGGATCGGCGCCGGGTTTGGGTCAATAAAGTTGAGTTTCAAGAAAAAAAGGAATTTGGGAATTTTTTTCTGGGAAAAAAAGGGAATTTTTGGGAATAAAAAGGGAATTTCTGGGGATAAAAAGTGAAATTTTGGGAATAAAAAAAGAATTTTGGGGAAAAAAAGGGAATTTTTGGGATAAAAAGGGAATTTTTGGGATAAAAAGGGAATTTTTGGGGATAAAAAGGGAATTTTTGGGATCAAAGGGAATTCAAGGAAAAGACAAAACGACTCCAAATGGATAAAATTTGCATTTTTTTATTGATAAAAATCCTTTTATTGCTCAAAAAACACAGAAAAACAAAACCAGAGAGGAAATTTGGGAATTTCCAGTTGGAATTTTGGGAATTCCAGTGGGAATTTAATCCCATTTTCTGGCATTTTTATCCCAAATCCAGCTGTTTTTATCCCAAATCCAGCTGTTTTTATCCCAAATCCAGCTGTTTTTATCCAAATTCCATCATTTTCACCCCAATTTTGCCCATTTCCAGCTGAATTTCCCCCGTTTTTTCCCCTCCTGAGTTTTTTTTTCCCATTTTTCCCCAAATTTTTGGGTTTTTCCCCAATTTTTGAGGTTTTTTTCCCAATTTTTTGGGGTTTTTTTCCCATTTTTTTCAGTTTTTTCCCAAAATCCCCATTTTTCACCCCAAATTTTTGCTGTTTTTCCCCATTTTGGGGTTTTTTCCATGCAGTTTTTTCCCATTTTTCCCCCAATTTTTGGGTTTTTCCCCAATTTTTGAGGTTTTTCCCCAATTCTTGGGGTTTTTTTCCCATTTCTCTCAGTTTTTTCCCAAAATCCCCATTTTTCACCCCAAATTTTTGCTGTTTTTCCCCATTTTATCCCATTTTGGCTTTTTTCATGCAGTTTTTTCCCATTTTCCCCCCAATTTTTGGGGTTTTTCCCCAATTTTTTCCCATTTTTTCCCATTTTTTTCAGTTTTTCCCATTTTTTTTCAGTTTTTTCCCAAAATCCCCATTTTTCACCCCGAATTTTCAGACGAAGGTGATGTGATTCTGCCCGGGGCTCACCTGCAGCACCTCCAGGATTCCAAACTCCCCAATTTCCCCCCGATTTTGGGGATTTTTTCCCATTTTTTTTCAGTTTTTTCCCAAAATCCCAGTTTTTCACCCCGAATTTTCAGACGAAGGTGATGCAATTGTGCCCGGGGTTGACCTGCAGCACCTCCAGGATTCCAAATTCCCCAATTTTGGGGTTTTTTCCCCATTTTTTTCCCATTTTTTTCCCATTTTTTTCAGTTTTTTCCCATTTTTTCCCAAAATCCCGGTTTTTCACCCCAAATTTTCACACGAAGGTGATGTGATTCTGCCTGGGGCTCACCTGCAGCACCTCCAGAGCCCCCAAATTCCCCAATTTCCCCCGATTTTGGGGGTTTTTTCCCATTTTTTTCCCATTTTTTTCCCATTTTTTTCAGTTTTTCCCATTTTTTTTCAGTTTTTTCCCAAAATCCCGGTTTTTCACCCCAAATTTTCTCCGTTTTCAGATGAAGGTGATGTGATTGTGGTTGACCTGCAGCACGTCCAGGGCCTGGTACTCGGCCAGCGCCGCCCTCACCTGCCCGGGGGTGAAGCCGCGAGCCCCCAGCACCTGCAGGGCGTGGGGGAGGGGCAGCTGCCGGCCCCGCCCCCCCAGCTCCCGCAGGAGCCCGAAAATCGCCTCCGAGGGGCGGGGACACCTGCGGGAGGGGAAATACACCCAAAATCAGCCAAAAACACCCCAAAATCAGCCAAAAACAGCCAAAAACACCCCAAAAACACCCCAAATACACCCAAAAACACCCCAAAACACCCCAAAAACACCCCAAATACACCCAAAAACCACCCCAAAA